ATCACTCTTAAAAACTCATGCTCTACACTTTATGGTCCTGGCCTTGTTCTCTGGGCTGTGTTCATTACATGGCCTAAGATGTCTGTGCAGAAAAGACAGGGATGCAAGGGCTAAATCAGCAGGAGAACTCTCTAGGCAGCCAAGAAGGAAGGTAATAAGGGTCTCTGTGGCAGCTCACCTTTGGAATTAAAAGCTTATGAGACTAGACCAGAGCTTTACCCAGTGTGACTCTATCCTGGGACAAAATTGAAACCTCCCAGGTGTGACTTGACTGTGACTCTGATTTGCCCCTGCTTCCAGAAAAGGAACCATCAAATAAGAAACAGTGTCTTCATGGAAAATAAAGGCTTAGTGCCCCCACCTCAGGCTTTTGATACCAAACTCAGGTAAGTTTCCATCCATGTCCTCCTAAGTGCCTTACTCTGTTGGGGTCTTTATTACACATCACTTTTTGAAGGACAGCTTTGTGCTCTCGAGGACACATAAAGGAGGCATTAGTCACCATCCAGGAGAGTAGGTACATGGTCAGAACCTCCCTACTAAGGCTGCCACATCTACCCAGATGTGCAGCTGGACTCCACAGCGGCCCCAAACTGAGGCTTTGCCCATTAAGTGGCCATAGCTCCTGTTTGGAATGGTGGAGATCCCATGCCCACAGAGGTGCAACAACATGAGGACCAACCAGTGGTTCTCCCTAAAAAAAATAAAGCCACAGCTCTCTAGAAATCCTTTAGAATCAGAAGGACATAAAATATATCTGTCAAACAGGTAAAGTTTAGGCTGGTTCAACAACTCCATTAAAAGTGTTAACTCAGTGTATGGGTGAGTGTCCTTCACAGGCTTCTCTGGGCAGACCATATCTAAAGCACCAGCAGGAGCCAAAGCATCAGTGCATCCAGAGGCAGAGAACTCACTGAGGAGACCAAGACATGGTGAGAAGAGGAGCTGGAAGAACTTTTCGTGAACACAAGCAACTGGAAGGCTGCACTGTGAATGTGCTCCCCATTATTCTAGCAATTCAAAAAGAGGATTGACAGGTCGTCACGCATGAGGTAGGAAACCTTTCCAAATTTAGTAGCTCTTTGGGTTGAGACAATCCCTACTCACTACAACCTTTCTCACTCTACCCTTAGGAGTTCATCCCACCTATTTCATCAGTTGAGAAGCAGTGCTCTGAATGGTTAGAAGACAGGCTTATAGTTCAGACAAATCTGCCTGGGTTCAAATCACCGTTCACCACTCTAGTTGTGTGGCTCAGGAAGAATTGGTTTACTTAAGGCAAGAGGAACAGGAGCAGGTCCAGTAGGACGCTCACAGTACCTCTTAAACTTCACCTCAATTCTCACCATATTACCTGCTCTCAGTCTAAAGACAGACACTTGCCACTGCTCTGCTCAGTAAACCCAAATTCTCTGGCTGCAAGACTCCACAGTCTTCTTTTTCCCCCTGAGAGAATACCAGCTGGGAAAGGCATTCCTAAACAGTAGCCACTGGAGAATACTCTGCCACCATTCTCAAGGCATTTTGTCATCCATAGATGCTGGTCTACTTGTAAGGTCTTGCAGCTTTATGTTTCCTTAGCCACTAGGCTTGGTTTATTGAATGGGATTTTCACCACCATCTCCATTCCAAGGCTTCCCAGAAGGCTCTTGCCCAAATGCTTTAGTGGGCTGCTGCTTCTATCTCTTAGAGCAGTCCCAAAACTAGCCCTTCTCGGTGTCCAGATTTCCAACACATCTTGGACCCCCTTCCTCAAAAACAAACACACAAGCTTGTATGTGTATTATTTTCAAATGGACTATAGCAGTCATCCTCCAAATAGTCCAAATCCTAGGTTAGCTGACGCCAGAAATTGGGACTAGCCAAGCAGTTTTAAGCTGTTGAGCCACATGCTAACCAACCTGCATGACTTAAGAGGCCTCTAAAAGCCCAGGAGTCAGCTGTCACTCCTTTCCCATGGTTTATAATCTTTCTGCTGGTACCAAACAGGATATAAAGAACCACAGGTCAAACAGTCTCTACCCACTAGAAACTCACCATCTACTTATGAAGACAAAAATATGTATACAGAAAAAAAAATGCATGATCAGATGCTTTAAAAAGAACACCTGCAATAAGCAAAATCAGTTCAAGCTTACAGGTGAAGATGAACCAAGTCAGGTCCTTCCTTGAGCATGAGCAAACTGGAGCTATTCAACAAGAGGGTGTTCCAAGGGGGAACTGACGGGGCTGCAGGCTTAAACTCACTTGGCAAGCAAGGGAGGGACACAGAACCTTCTGTGTGGGCTAAAGACTGGAAAGCAGGGCACTATGCATGGGAAATGCTAAGAGCAGATGAATGCAACAAAATCTGGACCTGGAATAAGTCTATTAGCTCAGAAAAAGATTTCTGGCTTTAAGGGTAGGGCACACAGAAACACCAGTGGGGATACCTCCACTTAGAGCCTGACTAGAATGGGAGATTCCCAATCACCTGGAAAGGGAAGAGAGACATTCAAGAAAAAGAAACTCCAGAGCCGTAAGCCTGGCTACCTGGAATGATGGGGTGGCTGGTAGAAATGGGAAAAGTATATAAGACAGTCACATACTGATTTAGCTCAAGTTGAGCTTGAAATGATTGATTGATAGAAGATCCAAGCTCCTTTGGAGCTAAGGATCTGGGACAAGGGAAAGTCATAGTGGTGGGAAGACCCAGGGCTCTCACCACAGAAAAAAGCACACCCCATGGGGCACTCTGAAACAGCACTCCATAGTTGACCTTTATGCTGAAACCACTTAAAATCTCCATTTCTAATAAATATAATCGTTAATGCTTTACATCCTCAGCCAAATAAAGTCAACAAAGATTGGGGGGGGCACTAAAATGGTCCACAAACATAAAAAAGGACTGTCTTTCAAATGGGTACCATAAATACAAATAACTTGACCATGTACTTTCTTGTAGTTCTTTTGTCTTTAAACTGAGAGTCTTGAACTTTAGAAGTTCTCAAACTTTTGTATTTAGTGTAAGATTGAGCGAGTAAATTATATTGAAGATAATGGGACCCAGTTTACCCCTGAGATAAATACATATAGAATAGGGGAAAGCAAAGAAGAACCTGTATGTTGGATTGGGATTAAAAGTTCCAGTATGAACTCATGATTTTTAAACATATATATAATAAGTACATAATATATATACATGTTCCTCATATACCTTTATATTCACAAATTTGTATATTTCCTAGTCTGCTGAAAACATCTAGAAGCAATGACACCTCAGCATCAGTGTGAACATCTGCCAATTTTAGCTTCTAAGTGACATCTACTAAAAGAAACCAGGACTCGGGAGAAATCACTGAATCCAGGGCTGGGCAAGGAAAATAGAAGATGAGCCTGGTACATTATTCTGTGTCAAAAAAATAAGGAAGTGTGCCAAAAATTATTGGGACATATGAAAAGGGTCAAAGAGCCAGCTTTAAAGAAGCTCCTTTGAAATTTTAAGTGTCAAAATGAGTAACATGTTAAATTTTAAAGGAATCCATGAGTTTTCTTGTTTGATACATTCATTCACTAAAAGAAACATTTATGAAACACCTACTATATACCAAACAGATTTCAACTATAATATATGCTTCCCAATCTCATCTCTTGGGGGTGGAGTAGGGATGGACGGACAGGGAGAAAAAAAATGTAACGAACTAGTTAATGTGTGTTTGAAAATTTGACAGGGTGATAGCATAGTAAGAAAAAGTTATTTTAGGAAAAAATGTTTTTTAAAAAAGAATGAGTCTAAACAGATACTGAAAAAATTTAAACAGAAAAGAAAGCTCTTCCAGGAGACTAAGAACTAACAAATGCAGACAGTGATAGGGTTAGAAATGCAAACATTTTAGAATCAACACAGGATAGCTGATTGAGGCAAGAATCATCAATGGATTACTAAAAGTACTGGATGAAAGTTTGTTGACAGGCTTAAAGAATGTCCCCAGATCAATTTTTTTTTTAATATTTTTTATTTATTTATTTGAGAGAGAGAGGAAGAGCATGAGCAGAGAGAAGGAGAAGCAGACTCCCGCTGAGCAGGGAGCCCGATGGGGGGCTCAATCCCAGGATCCCGAGATCATGACCTGAGCCGAAGGCAGACGCTCAACCGACTGAGCCACCCAGGCGCCCCTCCCCAGATCAATTATTAATTACAAAGAAAAAATGATAACCTTTGCAGCCACCACTGTAAGTGATGAGTCAATTTCATCAATAATGGAAAAAACTAGCATAATGTGCTTCCTAACGTGATACAGAGAAAGAACATTGTGTATAACTCTTACCTAGATCTGAACATCTGGAAACAATCAGACAAACCCAAATTGAGGGATATTCTACAAAATAACGGGCAACCACTCTTCCAACAAATGTCAATGTAATGAAAGACTGTAAAACAATGAGCCTTGGTTCCTAGGAAATAAACACTGATGTTTGGTGGTGCAGGGGGATAAAGTGTCATGATTCTGCAAATTACTCTCAAATGGGTGAATAAAAATAATAATTATATATTTATGAAAGAGATGTACCAAATGTAGACAATTAACTAGATAATCTAGGTGAAAGGTATACAAATACCACTCTTGCAACATTTCTATAGGTTGTAAATTTCCAAAATAAGTTTTTTAAAGTGTGAGAACACATTTCTAAAAAGCACCGAATATAGAGCACTACAGCTTACCTAGCATCCATTCTGCCAGACACAACTGCAAACATCCCATTTAATCCTCAACAATTCCCAGAGGAATTAAGGGCACATTATTAAATATTATTTAAAAGTAAGGAAACTGAAGCCTAAGCAGTTAAGTACTCTGCCCTAAAAGCTGCTTATCTCACCTACAGAAAAAGAAAATCTGGGGAAAAAGGAAAAAAATACAAAGAGGTGTCATATAAGGGTCAGCTCGAAGTGACAATACTCTGTGTACTGTTTTCTTGATTTTTCAGATTTCTACCATAAAAAATGAGATTTGCTCAAAAAATACCAGTTAAAACAAGTTTTTAATAAAGCAAGTAATTTTACAGTAAGGCATAAATGAAATCTTCCTAGAATTTAATAAGCCATCTCAAGTAATTACTGGTATTTAGATTTCCAGGTATCGTGATTGCAAAAGGCAGGGATGGGTACAAATGGCCAGGCAGTAATTGGCTCTTGGTTTATTATCCTTTGATTCGTTTACAGTGGAATATTTGCATGTTTCCTCCAAGGGCGCTGTACCTTCTTGCTGGCCAAGACATCCAGGTCACAGCAGATTCGGGCTCGTGTAGAGGAAGGCTGGATGATGTCATCCACAAATCCTGGTGAAGCACAGAAAAGGAAGTAGATCATCTGCATCCCCAGATAATGCCACCCCCCAATCTGTGTTCAGCCTGGGTACCATCTCTGGGGCCGACAGTGTGAGCAGGACCCAAGTTACTATAAGAGGGCATGGACCCTGTGAACCTTCCCCTGCATCCTAGGAGCATCCCTGTTCCTCTGGCAGGGCCCCAACTTCTGTCCTAGGAGCACTTGGCAAGAAAATGAAATCTGATCCCCTCCCTGCCAAGATTAAGTCAACAGGAAATAAAAGTTAAGAAAATACATTTGCATTTTCAAAAATCACTACACTTCCTCCTATTCCTGTAACACAAGCCCCTCTGCAATGTGATTTCACAACTCCTCCCATCAAGGATTTAATTTCCTCACTTGACCTTGTGACTTGCTTTTGCCAACAAAATGTGGCAGAAGTGATACTGTGCAATTTCAAAACCTAGGTCTCAAGGTGCCTTGCAGCTTCCCCTCCTACCCTCTTGCTGCCCTCAGGACACCATCAAGTGTGAAGTAACCTTAAGAATAAGAAATCATGTGCAGAGTCTAGCGGACAGCCAACGGCAGCCATGTAAGTGAAGCCATCTTGGACTATCCAGCCCCAAACTACCAATTCGCTATCTTTGCATGATTGATCCCAGGCAAGACCAGCAGAAGAACCACCTGAGCCCAGACCAAACTGATGACCCTCAGAAACATGAGCAAAAAAAAGGGGAGAGGGCGCCTGGGTGGCTCAGTTGGGCATCTGCCTTTGGCTCAGGGTCCTGGGATCGAGCCCCATGTTGGCCTCCCTTCTCAAGGAGCCTGCTTCTCCCTCTCCCCCTAACTCATGCTCTTTCTCATTATCTCTCTCTCTCAAATAAATTCTTTAAAAAAAAAAAAAAGTTGGTTGTTTAGGCCACTCTGTTTTAGGTTGGTTTTTTACACAATACTTAGGTAACTGGAACAACACTAAGAAATTTAGCCATTTCAGTAATGTTGTTATGATCCTAGTTACCAAAGCAGCATATATACCGTCCTTAAGTGACGACTGCCCAGCGACAAGCCCACCCCTCACTCATCTCCAGATTCAACTGTAAGAGCAAAGGACGGTTATGTGAGACTCTGGAAGTAAAAGAACGAGCAAGTGACCCAGCAAATGACCAACGCTGCCCTCCCCACCACAGTCCCTACCTCTCACTGCAGCAGGAAAGGGGTTGGCAAACTTCTCGATATACTCTGCCTGAGCAGCTTCCACATTCTCATGCCCTTTGAAGATGATCTCCACAGCACCCTGTCATGAGAGTATAGTTAATGAACTTAACTGGCAGTCCCAACCTGGGTCGACCTCCCTCAACTCACTATCACAGTGTGTGGTTGTGAACTTCATGGTAAATCAAAGTGCTCTGGAGAGAAGGGCCTAGAGGTAAGCACTGCTGGAGTCAACCATCATGATTCCAGGAGCTATATGATGGGACGTTCAGCTGTGGCCCCAACGACAGGCAGCTGGGCAAAGCCAGTAGTTTGTGTCCCCAAATTCCATCCTACTCTGTCCACTTGCATCTATCCTTCTTTGAGGCCAAGATGTTTGGCCTGTTTTCCACCATTAGATCCATGGTCCCCTGCATCAAGGGAAGTCAAATGCTGTTTTCCTTTTTTCTTATCCTGAGTACACAATTCAGTGGCCAAAGGCAGACAGACTGGACTGCAAATATAGAAGTACAGAGGACTAAAAGATGAGCCCTGACCTCAGAACCCCTAAAAGTCAGCTATGGGGAGAGTCAAGGGAGTTATCTGGTACAATCCCAATAGCTGCTTCAAAGCAGGAAAGGAGTGGGGACCAGGCTACTAAGCAACAGTAGTACAGTAGTCCCTGCTCATCTGCAATTTCAGTTACCCAGGATCAACCACACTCCAGAAGACAGATAAACCTCCTGACATCAGTGCCTATGGTCTTCACCTCACTCCATCTTATCTCACATCACAAGAAGAGTGAGTACAAGATATTTTGAGAGACAGACCACATTCACACAACTTTTATTACAGCATATTGTTTTAATCATTCTATTTTATTGTTAATCTCTTACTGTGCCTAGTTTATAAATTAAACATTATCATAAGTAAGTAAGTATGTATATGAAAAAACAACATATATAGGGTTCAGTATTATCCTGGTTTCAGGCCTCCACTGGGGGTGTTGGAGCGTGCCCTATATGGATAAGGTGGGGCACTGCTATACCTTGCCCACCAGGGCAAGTCACCAGGGGTCAGAACTACGGTTCAGCTTCTATGGGCTAAAAGGAATGGCTCTAGCCACCCCACCCCCCCACCCCAAGAGAGGAGATGGAGTTACAGGCAATATCCAATGCTCCCAAAGGCTAGTTCAGCTGACTAAACCCTTTCCCCTTTACTGATAATCTCAAAACCCCCTCAGGGGCCCTCTCACCCTGAGCATGAAGATAGCAGCATGTGCCTGAAGTGCGAGTGCAGGACAGGAGCCAGAGCTGGCCCTGGGGCTCAAGGTGGGAGACTTTTCAAGGTCTAGACCCCAACTCCCCGGAATCCTGGCCCACCCGAGGGGTCCGAGCCTCCAACATTTCCCACCTATGAGCTCCTGCTGGGAGAGTGCAGTACCCAGACCCAGGCAAAGAGAAAGCTAGAAGCCCTCACCTTTGCTCCCATGACTGCAATCTCTGCTGTAGGCCAGGCATAGTTGATGTCACCACAAAGGTGCTTGGAGCTCATGACATCATAGGCACCACCATATGCCTGGAACAGACCCAAATGCTGAATGTTAGAGCCTGAATCAAACAGATCATGCCCTGAAACATCCTAGGAAGCCAAGTGAAATGAGGACAAAAAGAGAAGAGCCCTCCTGGGCTACTGAAGGCCCAATGTCTCTGAGGCCAGGAAGCCAGAGCAGAGAATACCTGGACACAACCCAGAGGCCTTTCACAGTTAATGTTCACTGTCTTTCCTGGCTTTGTCCCACTGATGCTTTCAATTCCCAGACATGACCACCAACATATCTGCAGGGTGTGTCCACAGGGCTGTAAAAATGCTGCCCTCAAAAGATCTTTTTAAGGGTGAGCAAGGTATACTCCTTTTCCCAGCCCTCCTGAAACTCTTAGCCAGACCTCCAAACATGGCCAAGCTGCCAGGAATGGACTCCTAGATTCTGATACAAGTTCCTCACCTTCCTGGTGATGACTGTGACTTTGGGTACAGTTGCCTCAGCAAATGCGTAGAGAAGCTTGGCACCATGCCGGATGATGCCTCCGTATTCCTGTGCTGTGCCTAGATCATGAGGAAGAGTTACTAGATACAAAACTCCTCACAAGGTTTGACTGCCACTCTCAGTTATGAGGTCTTCCCCTGCTCCCCAAAGGGCCAAGAGAGAGCCACCCCCACCCCATAGCCCATCTTCCAGACACCTAGAATACAGAGATGTCACAAATAGAGATTTTTCCAAGAAAACCTCCAAATAAAGTGGGTGCCTTACTGGGCAAAACCACCTCTCCTAGCCACCCCCCCTTCTGTCAATGACTTACCAGGCAGAAAGCCAGGGACATCAACAAAAGTGATGAGTGGAATATTGAATGCATCACAGAATCGGACAAAACGAGCCCCTTTCACAGATGAATTAATATCCAAGCATCCTAGAATGAGAGGGATTATCCATGCTGAGCTTCTGGGCAATTTCCAGTTCCACCCACATGGGAATGTACCCTCAGCAACCATCCAGAGCTGATTTTTATGGAGGCATCAAAGTTTCCTCATCAGGGAATGTAAAGGGGAACCCTTACACTCCAGGAAAAAAACAGGGAAGACAGGAGAACCCATCCAGGAGTGACCTTGGCTTTGAGGGCACAGACTCTCTTGCTGGGAGCACAGCCTATTGCAGGCAGCGAGACTCTGCCTCATAAGCTGAAGGACTGCTGCCACCTGGGGTACAGCCTGACTTCCCCACATGGAACCAATAGTGGGAGGTATCATTCAAGGGCTGCTCTTAGAGACTCCCTGTAGCTTGGAATCAGATTCTGGCTTCACCAGTTATACCTATGTGCCCTTGGGAATTTACCTTTCTGAGCCTGAGGTTCCTCACCCGCAAAGTTGGGATGTTAACTACCTCCTATCATAGTTGTAAGGATTAAAGGAGATGGTATCTGTAAAGTGGCACAGAGTAAGAGCTCAGTTACTAGTGTATCTCCTCTCCTAGAATAGTTCCCAACATACTGTATGAAGCCACATTACCCTGATGCCAAAACAAAATAAGGACATCTTAAGAGAGGAACAGAGACCAAACTCCCTTATGAACACAAATGCAAAAATTCCTAAGATATTACCAAATCAAATCCAGCAATATATAAAAACACAAACACATCCTAACCAAATGGGGTTTATCCCAAGAAGTCAAGGTTGATCTAACACATGAAAACCAATGAAATCATACTAAATAAAGGAGAAAAACCATATAGTCTTCTCAACAGAAATAAAGAAAGATCTGACAACATTCAATATTCAGTCATAACTCAAAACTACCAGTGGGGCACCTGGGTGGCTCAGTCGATTAAGCAACCAACTCTTGGTTTCAGCTGAGGTCATGATCTCCAGGTGATGAGATCGACCCTGGTGTTGGCTCCACACTGAGCACGAAACCTGCTTGAGAGTCTCTCTCTTTCTCTCCCACTGCCCCTCCTCTTGCTCATGCGCTCGCTCTCTAAAATAAATCTTAAAAAAAAAAAAAAAAAACTAGCAGTAGCCTAGGAGTACAGTGGAATTTTCATAATTTGAGTATCTACAAAAAAAACAAAACAAAACACTTATACACCCATGGATCAGAAGAATGGGTAAATTCCCAAAGGGATTTATACCAGTGCTGTTCAAAAGAACTTTCTAGGAATGTTCTCTGACTGTACTATTCAACATGATAGTCACTAGAGCTATTAAGCACTTGAAATACAACTACAACCAAGAAACCAAATTTCTAGTTGTATTCAATTTTAATTATATACTATTAAATATTACTAATTATTAATGGATATTAATATATTATAAAATATGATATATAATGAATGAATAAAATATATAGTGTTATATAATAATTATATACTATTAAATATATACTATTTAATTATCTTAGATTTAAAGTTTACTAAGCTAGCATACTGAACAGACCTATATTTTCAAGGAATTACTATCAAAATCATAGGCATTTTCTTATAGAAATTGATAAGCAGATTCTAAAATTCAAATGGTAATACAAAGGAAACAATAGTTAAGATGGTTTTTTTTTTAATTGGAAGACTTACACTAGTTGACTTTCCAAGACTTACAAAGCACAGTTTCTCAACCTCAGCACCAACAACATTTTGGACTGGATAATTCTTTGTTGTCGGGGTTTGTCTTGTGTGTACAGGATGTTTAGCAGCATCTCTGACCTCCACCCACGAGATGCCAGTAGCACCCACTCCCCCACCAGAATCCACACCTGTGACAACCAAAAATGTTTCCAACATTGTCAGATGTCCCCAGGATCCTGATAGTGCCCCAAGTTCAGAACCACTGAGAACTATAAAGCTGCAATAATCAAGGCAATATGGCAAAGGCATAAAGGTAGACAAAATGACAATGAAACAGGATACATTGTGAAGAAATAGAACCACACAACTGTTTTTAGACCAGACACCAAAACAATTCAATGTGGAAAGGAAGTCTTCTTAACAAATGGTGATGAAACAATTAACTATCTGTATCTTAAAAAAAAACAAAAACAAAAACAAAACCACACACACGAAATTAGACTGTTTCACACTATAAACTCTATACAAAAATCCATTCAAAATAGATCACAGACCTTAATATAAAACCCAGAACTACAAAACTAGGCAATAATATTGGACTATCTTTGCACCCTTGTAGTAGGCAAAGATTTCTTAGAAAAGACACAAAAGCTCTAATCATAAATAAAAAACACTGATAAATGGGGCTTCATCAGATGTTTAAAATAATGAGTCAAAAGACACCATTAATTTATTGAATAAATAAGTCACTAATCAGGAAAAAATATTTGCAATACACATATCTGACAAAGGACTCACACCAAAATATATAAAGAATGCTAGAAATCATGAAAAAGAAACTCAGAAAAGAAAAATAGGTAAAACTTCCCCCTTGCTAAATGCATTTCCTAAGATGACAGAAATGTTCTATATCTAGTTCTGGACGGTGATAACAAGGTTGTATACAATTGTCAAATCGTCAAAACCTATCAAAATGAGCATTTGAAAGCTGTATATTTTATTGTGTGTAAATTATAACTCAATAAAAGATGTTTTAAATCTCCTTTCCTTCCTTTCTATTCAAAATCTATGTTAATGATCTGAAATAAAGAATGTGAGTGATAAGTCCCAGGAAAAAAAAATTTTAAATTAAGAAACTGCAAAAAGTACCCAGAGGCTACACTCAAAATCAAACTGAAAAGAAAAATGAACACTGACAAGCAAAACAAGATGTAATCATTGGGGAAATGAACACAGAATTGGAAAACCTGCAGCCCCGAGCTGCCATGGAATGGGCCCCATGTCCAGAGGCCTGGCCTTAGCATCTTAGGCCTAGTCTCAGGGCTATACAGACAGCCCGGCACCCAGAGAGTGTCCAAAGAGCCGTGGCTAATTCCTACAAGAAAAAATGAGAACCAGAACAGAAGCTCTCTATCTGAGCCTCTGAAGTGGGCTTCTAGTAACAGGGAATGAAGAAGCCAATAAAACGAAGCTTTCTTCAAAAAAGCAGTAACCTACTGAACTTCCACATCTTGCCCTCCATAAACATCACAAAGAATTTTTAAGCCAAGAAAAAGAGAAGTCAAGGAACCACAATGGAATCAAGTGTTCAGGCTCCAGCCAGAGCTGGGGAGGGCCCCTGGGTAGACAACCTGGCTATTTATAGAGAAAATTTCCAGGACAAGCAAAGCAGTTTCTTAAAAAGGGAGCCTATGAAAGTCAACCTGTACCTGCAGAGGTAGTCACAGGTTGAGAAAGATCTTAAAGCAGACACAAGAAACCATGTGAAGTCTGTGCCGGGGACTGACAAAGCTAAAAAGAGAAACTAAAGGAATGTATGGACAGTTATGAACTAATTGGAGGAACAAAATACAGTTTTCAATAGGTGTGAATTCCTGACTTTAAACACTTTTTTTAAACAACAAAATGGTGGAGTGGGCAGCTCCAAGCTCCTATCCTCCAACAGAAACATAACAAAACAAGCAGAAACTCTGGAATAAGTGAAGGTTTACAACAATCAAAAGAAAGACAAATCAAGAAAAAAGGCAACTTAAGGGGCACCTGGGGGGCTCAGGCAGTAGAGCATCTGACTCTTGATCTCAGGGTCGTGAGTTTGGGCCCCAAGATGGGTGTGGAGCCTACTTAAAAAAAGAAAGAAACAAACAAAAGAAAAAGGCAACTTAAAAATAGTAGGAAAGCCTTGTTGGTGTTCTTAATTACACTTGCCCCACACTCTCCCTAGTTCTAGAGAGAACAAAGAAGACCTCAGTCACAAATTATCACATAGGTCTGTTTTAACTTGTCTGAAAGACTGACTTTCATCTGTTTCACCTAACTTGGAATTCACCCAGGCCAGAAAAGTGGCAGACATTGTTCAAAAACAAAGGAACAACCTGCAGATATCTGAGGCAAAAGATTATGCTTCAATCACCTAAGGCCTAGGGGAAAAAACAAAACAGTTTCTTTGGGAAATTAGGGCACTCAAGAACACCTATGTATACAGGGGATTTCAGAAAGACACAGATATGCCTGGAACCAGATGCATGCTCAGAAAAGACCTGAGAAAAGGAAATATCTGAAGATGAATGAAAATGAAAACACATTACAAAACAAATAACCTACAAAGATCTTAAGAGTTAACCTTGGGCTGATCCCTAAGCTCAGTTTAAGTCTGGCTAAGTGTTGAAGGAGAGCACCAGCACATAGCCAATTCTCAAAGACTAGAAGACATGTTTTGTTTGTCTGTTTTAGCACCTGGTGTTCAAGGGTATCTCTGTCAAAACGCCAGCTGGATACAAGCTAAGGAAAAGAAACTTCAGCGACCACTGGAGGAATATAGTCTGCAAAAATAATCAGGAAAAATGACTAGACAAATGGACTATTACAGCATTCAATGATCAACCACAACAAAACCTAGGAAAGAAAATATGATTTCCAGAGTTACCACAATATTCAAATGTCTAGTTTTCAACAAAAAATAAGGTGGCTTACAAAGAAAGAGGAAAACAGCCACTCAAACAAACAAAATAGACAGAATCTGTCCCTGAGGAAGCCCAGACACTGAACTTACTAGACAAAGACTTTTTTTGTTTGTTTAAAATTTATTTATTTATTTGACAGAGAGAGAGAGAGAGAGTACACACAAGTAGGGGGAGTGGCAGGCAGAGGGAGAGGAAGCAGCAGGCTCCCCAGGGAGCAGGGAGCCTGATGTGGAGCTCAATCCAAAGACCCTGGGATCATGACCTGAGCCTAAGGCAGACAACTGACTGAGCCACCCAGGTGCCCCAAGACTTTTTTTTTTTTTTTTAAGATTTTATTTGAGAGAAAGAGAGACAGAGAATATGAGAGAGCACAAGCACAAGTTGGAGGGGAGGGCA